TGTCTGGGATTGTTGGTTTCCTCTGTGAATCTTACTACATTAAAGTCCCCCCACACACACCAAGGTCCTTCCCATAGGCCCCTAATATCACTCAATTCTTCCCATAACCTCTTCCTATAGTCATTGGGGCCATATACATTTGTTAGTACCCATTCAAAACCATCTTCCACCTGCCTGAATTTCATAGAAATTGAATGATCCCCTATTAGTTCTTCCAAACCTACGACCACATCTTCCTTCCACAATGTTATGATCCCACCCGAGGCTCCCCAAGATGGAGTAGCCACCCACACTTTATCCCTTTAGAACTCCAGACACTTCTTGCCCATCTACTATCAAAGTCCATTCTCTTGGACTCCTGGATTAACACCACATCCGGATTGAACTTCCTAATTACTTCTTTGATAGTTGCTCTCTTCCTTGCATTACCCAATCCCCTCACATTCCAGCTTAAAATTCTCATCTCAACTTTAGAACTTAACCCTAAAAAACCACTAGATATCTATTTGAATCCTTTCCTTCTATCCCTTCTCACCCCAAACTTATTATCCCCCTCGATATCTCTCTTTTAGATCATTTAGATTCTTCAGCTTACACCCCCGCTTTCAACAAATTCAGCTATTGAATCATCCTTCCTAGTCTCCTTCCCTTTTTCATTTTTGTTCTTTCCATAACTAGTCCTCTCCATTCTATCCTCCACCTCATTGCACACCAGCTCAGACACATTTGTAACTCTCCTTTATAGCTCATTTTTCTCGATTTCACCCACTATGCTCTCAATGATTCCCCATATTCTTTCTTCCCTTAAAGTTCCCTCCATCCTCACCTCCTCATGGACTTCTAAGACTGGACTGGGAATGGAATCAAGGAAGTCCTAGCAACTTAATCCGAAAACTACCTTCTTCTGGTTCAATTTCATTACAGATTGGGACCCATTTTTGTATTTGTACCAATCCGCCATCGATCTGTATCGGGTTGATGCTCCACTTCTGAACATCAACTTCCAGGATAGCTTTCTTCTCAGAGAAAGGCAATAGTATAGCATCACCTTCCAACTTTAACTTTTGTGCCACTGCATCTAGGATTTTTGTCCAGTCCTTTACTTCCCTTTCAACTGTTAGAACCATTTTGTGCTCCCAATTTTTCCTCCCTTCTTCAACTGTTAATCTCCGACGTACGGTTGAGCTTGCTACCGTTACTTCTTGATAGACAAGGGTCTGGTCCAGGTTGGTATTAGGTAACCACTGGGAAGAGGAGTCACTTCCCTTCGGTGATTCTTCTGCTGCCTCACTCTCAACTTTCAAGAGGAAAGATTGAAGACTGCCAGCAAAGGAGGCCCACCCTAGTTTCCTCAGACCTTCAGGCACGAAAATCATCTACTTTTTATTAATGCCAAAGTTTTCTGAAACTGTAAAAAAACAGCCACTCTCGTCCCTCTTCAGAACCGTTTCATATCTTTTTCCAGAGTAGCCGAAAGAATTTTTCCTCCCTTCTGCCTTGATTGAGTTAATTGTTCCATCTATGAAGCCTTTCAGCCAGAAACAGGCTTCCTTTGGTAAAAGGATCGTAGCCCTACTACCTTCCTTGACTTTCAGGTACTCTTTACCCCTTGCTCGTCCCTGCTCGAAGATGAATCTCTTCGTTTCAATGCTCGGATCTTTTCTCCACCTCCCCACCAGCCTAAAACTTTCCTCCACCGCCATTCCGCATGCAAGAAAGGCCTATCCTGTCACAGATCGAAATAGGTTGCCAACACAAAGTATTAACTTTGGGCCCATCTTCATAAGCCTCCACTGACCAGTGTTATGAAAAAGAGCTAGAGGCACATGCTTGGAGGTGCAAGGCTCTAAGGAAATGATTGGAGGCAAACAAGAGAGATGCAGAGAACACACTAGAGGCATAAGCTCCTAGCCTAGAGACACTTGGAAAGGCATACACATGTGTTGTGCTTAGAAAGGCATACCATTCCATTTTGTTCCTAATTACAATTATTAAATATTAGCATAATACAGAGGAAACCCTTATTTGTTATTATGTATAATAAAATATTATGAATACAGAGGAGGAAATCCTCATTTGTTATAAGACTTAATAAAATATTACGAATAGAAGTAGGGGCAAAGTTGCTTTGATTGCTTTCATTCAAATATGAGATGACACATTTTTATGTTAGTGTTATGTAATTTATGTGCACTGTAAATTTGAAATTTGATTTGCAACTTTGCAAGTGATGCTTTTATATCAGCATGGAAAGATTAATTTTATTAATAATTGCAAGCAAAAATAGATACAGGATTACAAAAAGCAGAAAACACAGGCGTTCCTTCACTATGCGTTACAACAAGGCCCAGAAAAGTTGCTGCCTGTAAACCCCCTGTTTGTCTAAAGAGTCAGCCATCCCATTTGCAGACCTTCTGATCCATGTGATTCCCTTGCTGGGCTTTCAATCTCACTCAGGGAGTGTCTATATATCCAAGGAGCAGTACCCCTGTTGTTAGCCCAAGAGATCACCAGCTTTGAGTACCCTTCAATCTCCAAGTTTTTAAAATCTGCTTATTTGGCAAGTTTTAGTCCCTGTAAAAGTGCTAGTAGCTCAGCCTGTGTTGAGTCGCCTACCCCTATAGGTCCTGAATACAATGCCACCACTTTGCAAATCATGTATTGATAGCTGATGATACTTATATACGATGATTCTCTATGATTCTCTATGTAATGATACTTTAATTTTATATGTAAACATGATGGTCTTATGATTAGAAATTGCAAATATGAAATTTCTAATTTCTCATAATTTTTTCCTATTTTTGGGAAGTTTACTATATTTATTCATTCACATAATTATTTATTAATTAAAATCCATGTTCAGGAAGCTTATGCCTCCTGTGTTCTAGTTTACTCCTCAAGCCATAGGATAATGGAATGTCTAGCACCATGCCTTTGCGTTTTATAACATTGGGACAAACATAGTATCTCTTTTTTCCTTCTTTTTCTTCTTCCTTTTGGTCATCATATCCCTCAAGGATCTCAACAATCAAAAAAGAAATTCATGGGAGGCCACACATCAAACCACAATCAAGTAACAATGCCTTCATCCACAGAACTTCTATATTCAGCAAGTGGTTAGCCATATGCAGGTTAACAAAGGTATAAAGTTCCAACTTTAAGAAATTCTGGCATACCAAGAAGCCGATTAAAATTTTGAATTATCTTATAAGTCAGATAAAATGGTCAAATATTCACTGTAAGAAATACTCAACAAACAGAATAACAAAAAGAACTAAATATTCCACAACCTCACTGCAGCTGAAAAAGGCATGCAAGCATGATTAAGCATGTTGGATATGCAGCATAGTTCAAACCTTGTATAAAAGCATTTCTCCATGCTCACAACGTTCATTCTCTGGAGGATAATCATCTTCTAGTGTCCCTTCATACGCTTCCAGGATTTCAATTGCTTTTGAGCCACTGAAGATGGAAAAAAGAAAAAGCAAAAAACAAAAGATGATAATAAAGATGCAGCAAAAATGAAAATGTACAATTTCGATTCAAATATCTATATATAAGCTTTTCTATGATGCTGGAAAGATATGATACAGGAAGAGTTTAACCAATCAGCCACTATCATAAATGTGGCAACCAATCAGGTGGTAGTCATCAAAATTCATGGGAGGTTTGCAAACAATATTATCTTTCTGATATTACTCCCCCTCTAAAAAAGAAGAAAAAACGCATGCAATGACATACAACTTATTCAGCAACAATGACTAATTCTAGGGGAAAAACTGATAATTGGATAGAGAAGTACAAAGTAACTAAATACTCATGGAAACAAATTTAATAGGACAATAAGAAAATTACTGTAATAGGAGGAGTAAATTAGGTTATTTCTTGGGTAAAAGTTGTTCCACTTTTGCTACTGGTCTTTATCCTTCTGTATTTTCAATGTATGTGGACTGAATTAAATTCATCAACAATATTGGAAGGAGGTAGAAATACTATCACCTTTTCTAATCAATGGAAAACAACACTTACTAAAAAGGGGATGAAGAAGATACAAACCACACTCACGCAACACCAGAAATAAACAAGCACGGACCAGAAAACTCCCAAGAAACTCCTCTCACAACCCACTCTTCACCAACTCATCAGCAAAAGCACCAGCAAACCCACACACCACAAGGGGTGAAATGTTCAACCTGGAAGCAAGGACTCAAGCCTCTCTTGTGGTCAAGGAATCATCATGTGCACCAAAAGTAACTACCATCAAGCAAATCACCACTTGACAGTCATGTGTAGGGCTGTAATCAGATGTGCTGAATCCGATTATTGGAAACTTGCATACAAATCCAACCAGATGACCTTGTTTTCGAATTTGAATCCTACTAGATACGGATTTAATCCAACTCCACTTTAATATTTTAAAATACAAAAAAAAATAAAAAGTTAATTACTTTTCAACTTTTTATATAATAAATTAATGTAAATATAACATACTGAAATTATATATATATATTCATATAGAATATAATATATATAAATATCTTTTATAATTTTAAATATAATTATATAAAATTTATATATTAAAATCAATAAATATTATAATATAATCAAATTGGATGTTGGATTGGGCCACAGAATTTTGGGTATCATTGACAGGCCTAATCAAGTGAATAATAGTATGTCACCATCATTGACCTTTTTATTAATCAATTTCAAAATAAAATAAAATTTTATTTTTTTTGGAAAAGGTAAAGTAATTTTATTCAACTCAAAAAAAAAACATACAAGCTGGGATCAGACCCAAGAAGGCAGTCTGAAGACCACAGCTGTTACACTTCCCGCCAGAACTCAGAACAATAAAAAAAAAGACAAATTCAGATTTTTAAATTCCTTGGATACAGATAAACAAGAAATCAGTTTGCCCACAGCTCTCTGAATGGTGTCTTCAGGACTTTTGCCTTTCTTATTGAAGATTCTACTGTTCCTCTCAGCCCAAATGGTCCATAAGGTGAGAAGTCACCTTAAAGAAGAAAGAAAACAACCCTACACCCAACCACAATTCAACCCCAAACCCTCAACATCACAACCAAAAGAATCACTCCAAAAAACAAACTCACCTTTTTTAATCATGCCATCATTAGAAGGCCTCAGCAGCTTTTACTTGACATGGAAAGAGGTTGCAGTTATAATTGGACCCCTCCCAATAATATTAGAGATTTTCTTAATCAATAAACAACTAGGAATTTGGAATCAAAAGGAATTTTAAACTGGAAAGCTATAACTCATGTAATCACATTGTGCATTTTGGGAAGAACACAATAGAAAAATATTTGAGAATAAGGTTACTCCCCTTGAAGCCCTTAGAAGGTCATCCATGTTAAGTCATGGATGCTTTCCTGTAATATGTTTCAAGGCATTATCCATGTTGATCTTAACAGAAATCTTCTAGAAAGAAACTCCCCAATCCTCACATTTTAAGCTCCCTATAAGATCAGTCCTTAAAACCCCAGCCATTGTATGGAATTCAATGTGATGGTAGTTCCATGGAGGATCCCTGGGGATCCCCCAGTGCAGCAGGTATTAATGAAATTATCCAAGGCAGATGGTGCTACTCTATGTGTGTTCTTTAATCTTTTTGTCTATCTTTTACATTCTCTCATGTGTGTTCCCTCCTTTATTAAATGAAAGTTTTCAAACAAAATAAAATAGAATCCAGCAGAGTAGAAGATTTCACATTAGTTAATTTGATTCATTGCTTCACCATAACAGGTCTAACAATAGCTAGCAATAGCATAGATCAATATGTATTTGTCAAAATCAAGAGTTCCATTTGGCAGGCTCTAGACATACTTAGAATTTAAATGATGGGCAACGGCAAAACCTATCCAATTCATCCGATGATTTGGTTTCAGGGTCAGGAGTTGTTGTCTTGTTTCAACAAAACCAGTCAAATCCCGCATTTGTGCCTGTCACAATAGCAAAAAAACATTAGTAACAAATTAAAAAAAGAGTTAATTCAATCTACACTATCATAAAAAACCAAGATTTCTTATCAGAAGTATCATAATAAAGAAACAGAACAAAATGTTATTTAAAAAGGTTAACAACAGGAACCAAATTGGAAATCAACTACTTGAAAATCAAAATATTTTTTAAAAAGGTAATGAAAGGGAAGGTACTCAGACCATAACAAACTTATCTAATGAACCCCACCACACCCCAAAAATACATAAGAAACCTAGTTACTACTATGAGTAAACGGGTATTGTGCTTATTGAATAATCTTGTTTTTTTGTGTTTATTCAAACCTAGCTACTACTCTACTTATTCAAAGGAATTTACAACCTTTATCACCTATTTAGTGTTTGTTCAATTATTCTTGTTTTCGTCTTACTAATTACAATGAATATCAAAATATAAATATTTTTTGAGAGATTAAGACTAAGAATTTGAGTCTAGGTAGTCAAAGACCAAAAATTTGTGAGAGCTTAAAAGAACAGGAAAAGTGTCAGGCTGAGTCCAATATGACCCCAACCCAAATCAGTGTTTTAAATGTGCAAGGTGAGAAAAGCACAAGGGCCTTTTTAAACCCAAGTCACAAGGCAAGGCATGTTTTTTGAAGTGAGGCACAAAATTTTTTAAATTTTCAAAAAAACATAAAAAGTTACAAATTACAAAAAAAAATATTAAAAACAAGGAAGCAACTCAAGCAAGCAAGAAAAAACAGCTAAAAGGGGTCTGAGTTCTCCCACTGTCTTCTAAACCAAGTCAAAGGAAGCTCCTATCATTGTAAAACCCATACCAGACAATAAGTCATAAAATCTTCAGTAATCACACAGGAATGTCAAGGATATACTTCAAGTGTGAAACAACAATGATGAGTTGCATCACAGAACAAGTCAGGCAGAAATAGTGATTATTTAAGACTAACATTCTAGCTAAAAGGTAGTGGATGTTTACCAGAAATTTCTATATATGAAATGACATGAACTCCCTAAGAACCATGATTCTGATTGTGATTTTTTTGGATAGGTAATTGTAACATCAGATTTAAGATACCTTAGGGGTTGACAATTGTATCTTAATTTTACAGTAATGAAGCTACCGTTTCCAATCAAAAGAAACATCATATTTATGATAGATATGCAAAAAATAAGCAAAATAAAACGTGCCAAAGACGGGAATAAAATTACAGAGCTCCTGATTGGTATTATCAATGTGGATTGCTATGGTCATTGTGGCATTTCTTTTATGAACAGATAACCTGGCCAGAGCAATATAAGAGAGACTCTCAATCATGAGCAAATGACTTTTATTTTTCATATTGGTAGTTTTATCACTATAGCATCTTACAGTAAAGAAAGGCTACATAACTTTTGTTGTTTAATCAGTTTAGTTCTTTGACCACAATATAGGAAGTGCATACATTCATGGACAAAAGTGCAGTAGCATCCATTTGCACTTAATACATTTTACAAGACCATTTAAGGATAAAAGATAGATCACTGAATAATGTATATCAACCTGTAACAGAGAGAGGTCACGAAGAATTTCAATGTTGTCTGGATCAATCTTCAAAGCATTCCTGTAGCATTTTATTGCCTCCCTGTATTCCCTATCTGATCGATATAGGAGACCATAAACATGCCAGCAAACATGGCTTTTAAGGTCATTCTGCATTAAACCAGAGAAATTAAGTCATCTATACTGTCCAAATAAATCAAGTCCCAAAGTTGACAGAAAAACAATCTTACATCAAACTAAAATATAAAGCATTCTAACCTTTAATCCACGCCGAACAAGTTCATATGCTTCTGATTTGCGGTCCATGCAGTTCAACGTTAATCCCTTCATGGATAAAGTTTCTAGAAATACATTACAAGGAATGAAAGAAATTAGACCATCAAATTTTCAGGAAAATCAAATAAATTAAAATAAGATAGGGGGAAGTGAGAGAGATAGAGAGGAGTGAGGAAACACTTAAAAGCACAATGAAGACTTGCACATCTTGCTTTAGGTCAATTACCCGCAAATCTTCCAAAACTTTTTTTGGTCAATAAATCTTCCAAAACTTTCCCTAGAAAACTGCTTTGATATGTTACAAAGGTTTGACTTTTGAGTGCACAAATCTGTATTAGGAATGAAACTTATCTGACCCAAAGTCCTAAAATACTGGGATACAGGGATTTGTCTACAATGGGTCCATCAACTAGGCTCAAGTACACAGACAGATCATACATTTAGTCACTTGTGCATGTATAAGTATTATAAAGATATGTACAATTTCCAAGTAGGGAAATAATATTATTATAAATAGTTTAGATGCCTTCACTATTGATATTTAACAAAGAAAGCATAAGCAATAAAGCTAAGGTAATGATGAATTCATAAAAATAGAGAGAGAGAAAGATGTAAAGTGTCTAAGGAAGAGGTAGAATACCTAGTCAGTTAACAATTTATATGCTGTGCATGATAAGCGGATGCATGACTATACTCACAATGGCATCCTATACCAACACCTATGTCATGTCATAAACTCACAATGATATGGATACATCTGAGCAAAATGAGTACAAGTACCACAGGTTTTCATTTTTCATCAGAAGACAAATATTCACGGTTTCAAAAGTCAGACAAGAGGCAACAAGAGCACTGCCATTGTCAAATTATTGCTTCCTTTAAAATAACAAGCAATGTTTTAAAAAATGTTCCAGAAATGAAACCACTTTTCCCTCTGGGTGGCAGGTCATTTGGTTCAACCATCTGGGTCAAAACGGATCAACCTGTGACATCATAAACCATATAATAAAAAATAAAAAATAGATAACATGCAGAAAATTGAGCATGTCCGTAATATTATATATTCATCATATTAAACAAAAATATGTGTAATAAATGAGAATTGTTGTTGTTGTTAATGATGGAAATGGATAAATTACAGAAATAAGAGTAAATTTCTAACGGTGTGAACTGCTGACTAAATCAAACAGTTGAATGGCTTGACCGGCCGGGTCACTGCGCCATTGACTCAGTTAATGTTTTTCTAAGTCCTATGACTGGCCAGGTCAATATCAGGTTGAAAACATTGATAGTAGTCGACAAGACAACTGGTTTTAGTAGCTAGTTTCAAGCAAGGTTCAAAGTATCGGGCTGTATCGGCCGATACGTATTGTATTGGGGCTTCCCAATACGTCCCTACAGGGGGTGTTTCGGGGTCCCGACTGGTTCAGATGGTGGCCAGACCTTAAACTGGCCCCTCTGAACCAGATTAAAAAAAACTAAAAAAAATAAAAAAAGCTACTGATACTGCCCGATACGCCACTACCGGCATATTGGGCGTATCGATATTTTGAACCTTGGTTTCAAGTACTCCATATTTTACAAAAACTGTTTTTTAGTAGTAATATATATTCCACTTTTTCTAGTAATAGACTTTGGAACTATAACAATGAAAGGAAGAAATTTAAATGGCTAAACAGGACATAGATGTAAAATTGCATTGGGTTAAAAGAAGTGCAAGTTGTTTTGCTGAAATGAGAATTCACTGGGAGAGCTAAGAAAGATTATTGCTCCTGCTTCCTTGCTGGTTGTACTATGATTTGAATTTCTAATAAAGCACTACAGTTATTGATCAAAAAAAAGTTCTACTTTTTAAATTAATGAGCAAACTCAAGTAACACATATTGGTGTTTCTTCTACTGGCTAAAATGTTAAAGCGCTGAAATAACAATTCCTACAAAGCAAAAAGAAAGATCACAAGAAATGATTAAGGAAAGCAAAAAAGTGCAAGGGACAATTTGCACCTGAGGTGCACGTCTTTTCGAAGCAAGGCGCAAAAAAGCATAATAAAATAAAATATTAAACATAATATTAATTAAAATTAAAAAGTTAAATTTTAAAATAAATGTTAAAAAATCTATTATCTAAAATTCAAATACATAAACATCACATGCGAAACATATTCAAATGAAAATTTAAAAATAAAATAGACATACAAAACACATTCAGGCATGTAAAACTCTCCATCTCTTTATTTTTCCCAACTGCATTATTCCAAATAGCCAATGTGATGTAAAACATTTTGCATTACTGATTCTACAAGCTGCCTTTTTACCAAAGATATACTTTGCATCTTGTAGATAAATGCTTCCTAGGCAAAGGGTTTCTCCAGTATCTGAATTAGAGCATTCTTCATCATCTATCAACATCTTTGGTTCAAGATTATCTATCTCATTACGCTGACACACCTTGGATTACGATGATTCGGCGAGAGTCACAAAAGTTTCTTTGAGGGAATCCACTGTAACGAGCAAGCAGCCTGGTTTTAGCTATTCGAATGACTAGTAGAGCTCAAGGTAGACGATGCTAGATGTTGTTTCCCATCTACCTTAGAAATTCCCCATCACGTGCTTGCGGTGTGCCTGCTTAACAGATGGGTCAATTGGTTTTGGCCCATTTAAATTAGTGTTGGGCCTATCAGGGCACACAACAGACCTTGAACTTAAAGGCCCATCAGTCGTGAAATTGGAAGGCACATGATTATTTACAACTACACCCTCCCCAATCTGCCTCGACGGTTTACCTCCCCTAGTTTGTGGCTCGACCACTCTAAACAAAGAACCCCTTCCCTTGGAATTTAAATTGTTTAAACCATTTGAACAACTCTATTTGACACCAAAAGATAATACAAGTGCAAATGTTTTGTTGACTCTCAAGTCCTTTCCTTGTTTCTCATGTTTTTGACTATCCTCAAAATCCAGTTCTTTTGGACTGCTTAAAGGTTGTCTTTCTATTTTTGTGAAAGTTTTCAAACTCTTTTGGTTCTCCGGCCCCAAGCTGCCACATAGCACCAATTTCCTTTTTTTTTTTTTTGATAAATCATGTAGCACAATTTCTTCAACCTATCTAGCTTCCCTCCATAAAGCAGCTTCAATGGAGGAGGCTAACCACATTGGTAAGAACAATCCATCAACTCAAATAGTCACTTTCCTCGGTATCTCTTCTGGTTTAACTCCACTCAACAGAAGAGCTGCAGAACGTAGATCTCCCCAGAACTCACCATCAAGGCGAGTTCCACATAACAAAGCGATGGAATTTGCTACCTCATGGTTCCAAAGATGGAAAGACAGACCAACTACCATGACTGCCACACTATCTTCAACTGAGAAAGATTTTGAGTTGGAAGATGGAGACCATTTAAATAGTCAGAAGGTCCCCAAATCATCTTGAATACATAAAGCTTCAACATCTACCAGGTTTTCAAGAGGGTCCAGCACTGCCTCAACACTATCAAAAGGAGTTAAAATAAATGTATTCGGTAGTCTCAGCTTAAACTTCAAGAGATCAGTAGCCTTCCTCCAATCTAGAACCATCTTCTCATTTTTCAACCACTAGCATACTATCCCACTGCCCTTTCTTCATATTTGCTATCAAAGAGGGATTACTACTGCTGTATGCCATAGCAAAGAAATCCTGCTTAGGTTCCACCTCCAAGACAAGAGAGGACTGTTAATAAATGAACCCTGGACATTTACTACTTATTTCTGCCATCTCCCTTTTCTCCAGTTTCCTTCTGTCTAGGAAGTTTGTTAAAACATCAGCCACCCCTTTCCATCCTTGACTATTTTTCCCTTCAGGGAAACAGACCAGTTGTTTCCTTCCTTTGGCAAAATATTCAGAAAAAGAAATGAAAGATCCCTTTACATTCCTTTTGCTCTCCATTACATACCTTCTGCCTGTCGCCGAGAAGTTTTCTTTCCATCTAATCTGTTTCCCTTTAGCTGTTGCATCAGAGACAAATGCTTTGAGCTATCCAACCATCTCTAAGCCTTCCACCAGAACCATAGCCACCTTCTGCTCCCTTGTCTCTTTCAACAATTTCCTTGATGGCCTTCCTACCCTTGCCACCTTTTTTGTTAGAGTTCAGAACCAACACATCCTTGACAGAATCAAGGACCCTATAGCATCTTTCTCCTCATCTTGTTCCTGAGGCTCGGATCTGACAAAAACCTGAGACCCAACCCCACATCCATTGTCAACAGTCGGCCCAACTTTCTTCGCACCTTTTCTCTCATACACATATTTGAAATTCTTAGTAGGTCCTACCCCCACCAACCCAAGTTTCAGCCGAGAGAAGACTTTAGTAATGTGAACCAATTGGTGAATTCTTGAACCCCGAGGTTTCTTGGTGATCACTACCACTGCAGCATCCAAAGCTTTCACATCGAACTTCCTCCTTTGTCCTAGATCCACCAATAGCCTACCAATCACCACTTCTTCAAAATTAAGGTGATCATCATTTGATCTCTCCAATTGGGGCCTAGGCAAAATGCATACCTTAAAATGTTCCTCGCCTATGCACCTAGGCGTGCCCATGGTTTAAAATGTCCCTAATTTCCCTAATATTTCCATTTCCATGGATAGCGACATGAAATTTTACTGGCATCGACATATTCCCCAGTTAACACTACCAGCACTATGTGGAGAAGTGTTTTAAAAGGCGTGGAAGGCGTACGCATGGAGGCGATTTTACTGGCATTGACATATTCCCCAGTTAACACTACCAGCACTATGTGGAGCAATGTTTTAAAAGGCGTGGGAGGCGTACACCTAGAGGCGCGCCTCCAAGCGAGGTGCTCCCAAAACGCCCTGAGGCATATGCTAGAGGCGCTAACACCTCTAAGGCGTACGCCTCTTGCGCTTTTTTCATGAGGCGTGCTAGAGGCGTACGCCTCATGCACATTCGATATAAAAAGACGGAAAAAAAAAAGAAAAAAGAAAAAAAGAAAGGAAAGGAAAGGAAAAGAAAATAAAGGGAAGGGAAAGAAAAAGAAAAAGAAGAAAAAAAAGAGAAAAGGAAAGGGAA